GGCGGTAACAGGAAGTGACCATTTTTTACTTTAACATGTACTGATGACACATAGTTGAACCCATCAACTTCATTCCACTACTAAAACATGCTGAACAAGTTGGTGAAGCTACATTATGAATGCTGTGAAGCTACAAGTAATGGCGTTCGTGTGGCAACACGGCGAAGATGGATCCCTTGCCATGAAAATACATTTGTATTTTTGATGTCTTTGCTGAACACGTATCATCATAAAAATTGATACACAGGTAAAGGAAGGCAAGCTGTTAAATCTGATAGGGGCCTCGCTCATTAGGGGAGCAAAATATCTCGATAGCGCCCCCTTGTGGAATCAAGAAATGCCATAATTTACATTGACATTGGCCGATTTGCTCGAAACTTCGCATTTGTGCTGATGGTCCGCCCCTGAATGCACCTGCCCGCATTTTGGTTACGCTCAGAGCGCCCCTGGTGGATGAACTATCAACTTTTCATTACTCCTTCCTGCTTTGTCCGATTCGCTCAAAACTTTATTACAGGTTGGTACCTGTACTTGACCTGTCCACTGCTCGTGAGTGCATACCTGCACCCGTCAGGATCTCACCACTACCCCCAACGTGCAAAAGGCTGCGAGGGCCTGTTCAACGCTGCTTGCAGCTTTAATTATTATTTTTATTTTTTATTTTTTATTAATTATTATTATTATTATTCTTCCGACATTTCAAAGGCCAATTTTGCCCCTTTCCCAATTGTGAAAACGTGTCTAACTTTCCACATTCGTCCGGCCGGATCCGAAATTCGATATTTTTTGGGTGCTCGTTCATGGTCGACTTAAAATGCCAAAATAAGCGCCCCTAAACCGTTTCAAAATTCCCATAGGGAAATTTGCTTACTTTCTCGTAGGCAGGCGAAATTTGCACACATATGTATCATACCCAGACATACAAAAAATTTCATTGGAGCCACGCCCTTAACCCAACAGGAAGTCGGCCATTTTGATTTGAATTTTTCCATTTTAAAACGAACTCCTCCTCGGGATTTTGCCCGATCGACTTCAAAGTTGGTCCAGATCAATTTAAGACCAAGCTGATCAAAAGTTGTGCTCTGCATGTTTGTAGGTCAAAGGGCGTGGCTGCTAGGGCGTGACAAAGTTTGGCGACTCGACAAAAAAATTTCAAAATGCTCTCACGCTCATATACTTGATCTTAGCAGCTTCAAACTTGCTGGACATGATGATGTCTCTGCCCTGAACGTCATGATATCATAACTTTTCACTTTACTAATAGCGCCCCCCGGTGGTAACAGGAAGTGACCAGTTTTTACTTTGAAAATGAACTCCTCCTCGGGATTTAGCCAAATCGACTGCAAATTTGATCCAGATCATCTAGAGAGCAAGCTGATCAAAAGTTGTGCTCTGCATGTCTGTAGGTCAAAGGGCGTGGCTGCTAGGGCATGACAAAATTTGGCGACTGGCCAAAAAAATTTCAAAATGCTCTCACGCCAACATACTTGATCGGAGCAGCTTCAAACTTGCTGGAAATGATGACTGCTCCACCCTGAACGTCATGATATCATAACTTACCGCTTTACTAATAGCGCCGCCCGGTGGTAACAGGAAGTGACCAGTTCGGTTAATTTGTTGTAGGCAGATGAAATTCGATACACATATGTATCATACCCAGACATACAAAAACTCATTGGAGCCACGCCCTAAACCCAACAGGAAGTCGGCCATTTTGATTTGAATTTTTCAATTTTAAAAAGAACTCCTCCTAGGGTTTTCGACCGATTGACTTCAAATTTGGTACAGGTCATCTAGAGACCAAGCTGATCAAAAGTTATGCTCTGCATGTCTGTCGGTCAAAGGGCAAGGCTGCTAGGGCGTGACAAAAATTGGCGACTCGCCAAAAAAATTTCAAAATGCTCTCACGCCAACATACTTGATCGTAGCAGCTTCAAACTTGCTGGAAATGATGAAGTCTCCGACCTGAACGTCATGATATCATAACTTCCCACTTTACTAATAGCCCTCCCCAGTGGTAACAGGAAGTGTGCAGTTCAATTACTTTTTCGTAGGCAGACGAAATTCGATACACATATGTATCATACCCAGACATACAAAAAATTTCATTGGAGCCACGCCCTTAACCCAACAGGAAGTCGGCCATTTTGATTTGAATTTTTCAATTTTAAAACGAACTCCTCCTAGGGATTTTGCCCGATCGACTTCAAAGTTGGTCCAGATCATCTAGAGACCAAGCTGATCAAAAGTTGTGCTCTGCATGTCTGTAGGTCAAAGGGCGTGGCTGCTAGGGCGTGACAAAGTTTGGCGACTCAACAAAAAAATTTCAAAATGCTCTCACGCCCATATACTTGATCTTAGCAGCTTCAAACTTGCTGGACATGATGATGTCTCTGCCCTGAACGTCATGATATCATAACTTTTCACTTTACTAATAGCGCCCCCCGGTGGTAACAGGAAGTGACCAGTTTTTACTTTGAAAATGAACTCCTCCTCTGGATTTTGCCCAATCGACTTCAAATTTGGTCCAGATCATCTAGAGAGCAAGCTGATCAAAAGTGTGCTCTGCATGTCTGTAGGTCAAAGGGCGTGGCTGCTAGGGCATGACAAAATTTGGCGACTGGCCAGAAAAATTTCAAAATGCTCTCACGCCAACATACTTGATCGGAGCAGCTTCAAACTCGCTGGAAATGATGATTGCTCCACCCTGAACGTCATGATATCATAACTTACCACTTTACTAATGCCGGTGGTAACAGGAAGTGACCAGTTCGGTTAATTTGTTGTAGGCAGATGAAATTCGATACACATATGTATCATACCCAGACATACAAAAACTCATTGGAGCCACGCCCTAAACCCAACAGGAAGTCGGCCATTTTGATTTGAATTTTTTAATTTTAAAACAAACTCCTCCTAGGGTTTTCAACCGATTGACTTCAAATTTGGTACAGGTCATCTACAGACCTAGCTGATCAAAATTTGAACTCTGCATGTCTGTAGGTCAAAGGGCGTGGCTGCTAGGGCGTGACAAAATTTGGCGACTGGCCAGAAAAATTTCAAAATGCTCTCACGCCAACATACTTGATCGGAGCAGCTTCAAACTTGCTGGAAATGATGAAGTCTCCGCCCTGAACGTCATGATATCATAACTTACCACTTTACTAATAGCGCCGCCCGGTGGTAACAGGAAGTGACCAGTTCGGTTAATTTGTTGTAGGCAAATGAAATTCGATACACATATGTATCATACCGAGACATACAAAAACTCATTGGAGCCACGCTCTAAACCCAACAGGAAGTCGGCCATTTTGATTTGAATTTTTCAATTTTAAAACGAACTCCTCCTAAGGTTTTCGACCGATTGACTTCAAATTTGGTACAGGTCATCTAGAGACCAAGCTGATCAAAAAGTTGTGCTCTGCATGTCTGTCGGTCAAAGGGCGTGGCTGCTAGGGCGTGACAAAAATTGGCAACTTCGCCAAAAAAATTTCAAAATGCTCTCACGCCAACATACTTGATCGTAGCAGCTTCAAACTTGCTGGAAATGATGAAGTCTCCGCCCTGAACGTCATGATATCATAACTTCCCACTTTACTAATAGCCCCCCCAGTGGTAACAGGAAGTGTGCAGTTCAATTACTTTTTCAGTAGGCAGGCGAAATTCGATACACATATGTATCATACCCAGACATACAAAAAACTCATTGGAGCCACGCCCTTAACCCAACAGGAAGTCGGCCATTTTGATTTGAATTTTTCAATTTTGAAACGAACTCCTCCTAGGGTTTTCCGATTCCTCAAATTTGGGATCATTACAGACCAAGCTGATCAAAAGTTGTGCTCTGCATCATCAAGGATCTTCAAAATTGCTGGCCAAAAACATTTCAAAATGTTCACATCAACAGACTTGATCATAGGATCTTCAAACTTGCTGGACATGATGTTGACTCCGCCCTGAACGTCACGATATAATAACTTCCCACTTCACTAATAGTGCCCCCTGGTGGTAACAGGAAGTGACCATTTTTTACTTTAAAATGCACTGATCACACATAGTTGAACCCATCAACTTCATTCCACTTCTAAAACATGTAGAACAAGTTGGTGAAGCTACTTTATGAATGCTGTGAAGCTACAATTTAGGGCGTTCATATGGCAACGCGGCGGAGATGGATCCCTTGCCATGAAAATACGTTTGTGTTTTTGATGTCTTCACTGAACTCATATTATCATAAAAATTGATACACAGGTCAAGGATGGCAAGCTCTTAAATCTGATAGGGGCCTCGCCTATGGGGGGAGCAAAATGTCTCCATAGCGCCCCCTTATGGAAACAGGAAATGCCATATTTTACATTGACATTGGCCTATTTGCTCGAAACTTCGCATTTGTGCTGACGGTCTGCCCCTGAATGCACCTGCCCACATTTGGTTACGCTCAGAGTGCCCCCTGGTGGATGAACTATCAACTTTTCATAACTCCTTCCTGCTTTGTCCGATTCGCTCAAAACTTTATCACAGGTTGGTGCCTGTACTTGACCTGTGCACTGGTCGTGAGTGCACACCTGCACCTGTCAGGATCTCACCACTACCCCCAACGTGCACAAGGGTGCGAGGGCCATTCAACGCTGCTTGCAGCTTTAATTCTTTTTGAATTTACTGTTCAAAATTTATAGGCAAAGCAAGTAAAAGGACTCAATTTTTTTTGGAAAAGAATGATTATATATTGGATTGCAATTGAGAATACTGCCCCACCGCCATTCTTTTTTTTTCATTTTACATTGCATGTAAAGGTGCCCCTCACCGATCACAGATTCAATAAAACCTGGGAGTACTGATATGTGATAATGCACTTTGTTTTTCTCATCAGAGCAAAGAAGAGGACATCTACTTTTCTTTTTTAAAAGATTATTTTTTGGGATTTTCTCCTTTATTTGATAGTGACACAGTAGAGAGAGACCGGAAGGTTGGGGAGAAGAATGGGGAAGACATGCGGTAAATGACCCGAGCCGGAATCAAACCGGGTCGCCACAGGAAGGCCACATCCTTTATGGTGCACGCGCTTAGACCAATGAGCCACCGGGGCGCCCCGAGGACATTTACTTTTAAGAGCTTGACATCTTTTCTCACTTAAAATTCCTTTTGTCAAGTTAAGTTGTTTGAAATCAAATGTAGACAAGCTCCTGGATATTTCTTCTGGAACTCATATGAATATTTTGGGCTATGCATTCGTTAAAGGTGGACCAATCAGAAATGATGTAAATGTGCAAGTGTACAGGCAAGCAATTAGAGACCATTTTTCAAGTGGCGCAGCAAAAATTTTTTGGAGGGGTTAAAGTCAGCGTTAGCTAGCATGATGTAGCTACAGTACACCATGAGCAGCAGCAACTGTTAATGAGTGGGGTCAGATACATTAGTTGCATGAAGCCTGAGCAAGCTAAGATGTGTTGAAATTATTCATGCTCTACAGACGATGGTAGATAGATAATAATCTCAGAATTAATTCACTGAAGTCAAAGCCAATGCTGCTACTACCCCAACCACAATTCAGTGCAAATCCACTGAGCTGTGTGTTTTAGCACAGCTAAATCAATTTTGGGTTAAATGCCATACTCTGTCCTTGACATGACATCACAATTGTGAAAAAACCCTAACCTCTTCCGCTCCGGAGTTGTTATTGGAGGGATATTGGCGCTGCTTTTACCTCACCTTAAAGCGCATTATATCTCCAAACTCCATCCTAGGTTTCCTAATTACCAACTAAGTGTTAATTTGTTCAGTTGCGAGGATCAATCCATATCCATTTACCCTCAGCTTGCTTTATAGGTCATTTCAAGAATTACCATTTTCCTATCCACATTTATGGTGACATAAAATGTCATTGTCGATGAAGCTTCTGAATTCCAACAGCTCACAAAATGAAATATATTTATTTCGGCACCTGCGTCCGATCGGCTTGATACGCCTAAGAAAACGTTTCTAATCAAAGCGACACTATCATTAATTACTGGATTAGCTGTTTGTGAATCTTACCACCCATGGTCCCGCAAACAGTAAATTGATTGATTGATTGATTGATTGATTAGTGAGTGATGCTCGAGTCTCATCACAACACCCCTTCCTAATTTCAAATGCAACCTATTCTTTCGAATGCTCAAAACACTTTAAGTGCAGTCTTAAAATAAATTGGGTTGCAGGATTAAAAAATCCCAAGAACAGGAGATGGAATTCAGGGAAAGCATTGGGTTAATTAATTATTTTTTATTATTATTTTGTTGTTTAAACTCTAAATATAAAATTTCAACTGGAAAAGTCAGGTTTCACTGGATAGGCTCTTTAACCCCTAGGAGTCTGCCTGTTCTAATCTGTTTATCAGAGCATTGTGATAAATTAGGACTGATCAAAATGCTTCTACGCTTGCTAAGGCTAAAGCTGCCAAAAGCATACCTGGTACATTCAAGCCAATTAACACCTCCCTTTCCTCCAGTGTCACTCTCTCCAATCAGTCTCTTCCCAGAGCGCTGGGTCATTCAGTGCAGGGCTTTCACATATGAGACAATTAGAGGGATGAATCACCACCAACAACCTAGTTTTGTTCTTTTATTCTTTCAGAGTATTAAATGGATGAGTAGTAAACCCTGAAATATTGCATAACATTGCCCCAAATGCCAATTCAGGGGTCTATGAAGTTGTCAGTAAGTGTTTGTTTAGTATATTCTCAATTACATGATGCCATTAATTATAAACGCATTTTTGTCTAATATAATCCAGCAGTAAGTATGATTTTTTTTGTTGCATTAAAGTGCTTTTGTTTTTGTTGCATTAAAGCGCAATTTCACGAAAGTTGGCAGTAGGCTTATTCATTAAATCGGCTGTTGCTTCATAAACATAATACAGACAGGGTATCAAAAGACAAGTTGTCAATGTCAATGGGCTTTTTTAAATGAACTGGTTTAAGAGACATAATTGCACAATATAGCCTGCATGTCATTTTCCGGAAAATAAAATTATGTTAATTAACCACGTTACTTTACATTTGACTGCGTTTAATCTCAGCAAGGGAAATTCTGAAGCCAATGTCACAATTCATTTCCAATATGTATCCAGCTGGACAATGAAAATGAGGTCCAGATACAAGTAATTAAATCCTACTTGCGATCGAGCGCTGTCCCTCGATGGAAACATATTTGAGCGAAGTCATGAAAAACGGAACACTTCCGTAAAAAATTAGGGTGTGTATTTTATAATTGCCAATTAAGGAACTGTTTACTTATTATTTTAGGTGTAGAAAAACCACTGCAAATTTTTTACACATTTATGTTTATGCCGGCGGCACGGTGGCATAGTGGTTAGCACTGTCGCCTCACAGCAAGAAGGTCGTGGGTTCGATTCTGGCCTTGGGCCTTTCTGTGTGGAGTTTGCATGTTCTCCCCGTGTTCGCGTGGGTTTTCTCCGGGTACTCCGGTTTCCTCCCACAGTACAAAGACATGCATGTTAGGTTAATTGGAGACACTAAATTGCCCATAGGTATGAGTGTGAGAGCGAATGGTGTGTGAATGGTGTGTGCGCCCTGCGATGGATTGGCGAGCTGTTCAGGGTGGGTTCCTGCCTTCGCCTGTAGTTAGCTGGGATAGGCTCCAGTTCCCCCGCGACCCTAGTGAGGAATAAGCGGGTATAGAAAAAATGAATGAATATGTTTATGCCTGTTTTTTAACCATAATTTCTATACTGCATTGCCAAAAACCAATGAATCCTGCCAGAATTTACTTTACAAGTAGTCAAGACCATACATTCTTCAAATAAAGCGCACATCTAAATGATCATGTTGAAAAACCTATTTATTAATCCACATTTCTGGAAAAATGAAATAGTACTGTTTTTTATTATACCCCCGCTACGAAGTAGCCGAGGTATATAGCGGTCAGCGTGTCCGGCCGTCCTTCCGTCCGTCCGTCACGTTTTTTTGTTCCGCTCATAACTCCAACATTAATTGTGTAGATGTGCCTTTTCTGTGTTTCGGTCATCTATCCTCATTTGCATAATTTATGCAAATTTTCTTAATTTTTCCCCTCCAGATTTTTGTTCCGCTCATAACTCCAAAACTAATTATCCAAATATTACGAAACTTTACACAGGCAATCACTACCAGGTGTAGATGTACCTTTTGTACCAGATAAAGTTTTCTATATCCCCAGGTGATGTGCCCTATGTGATGACAGCAACATGCCAGATAAACTGAAGAAATATCGGGAACAAAAGAGGCATGAGAGGCGATAGGCAAGAGCTCTCCCTCATGAAGAAATCTTCAACCAACTGGACTTCAGACAAGTGTTGGCAGGAGAGATTCCCATTGAGATAATGGACTATGTGTCAACGACACTTAAGGAGCAGTTCAACATGCAGTATGGACTCTATACACTCTCAATTATCCATGCAAATGTGTGTGCAGGGGAGAACTTGACTGATAATGAAGTCATCCCACCAAATGTATTTGCTTTGCAAATACAATATGTTGCTCAACACTATGTCATGTCATATCAAAGGAACAATTTTATATATATATATATATATATATATATGTGTGTGTGTGTGTTCTGGACTCTCTGCACAGCCCTCACCGAATACAACAACTCATGCCACAACTACGAATCCTCTATGAATCCATATTAAACAATAGCATTTCTATGGATGACATAATCTATTGGGAACCACAAAGCCAAGGTTCATCTGTTGACTGTGGGCCATTTGACATTGTTAACATATACAGCATCATTGTGGACCAAGACCCGACAGCAATTGTATATGCTCAGACTTTGTTAAGAACTCATATCTATCAATGTTTGCAAACAGGAGCATTTAGTGACTTCCCACTAAGAAATGTTATTGTAATAAATGCACCACAACACAACCAGGAGATTCTTGAACAGTCATGGAGAGCAATGCCTGCGAAGGAGAGAAAACAGAAGTCCAGGGAAAAAATGACTGATGAGGAAAAAGCAAATGAAAGAGGAAAAGATACTATAAGGAAAAGAAAATTCAGGGAAGGTCTTTCTGGTGATGAAAAACAAAATCAACATGTCAAAAATAAAGTGAGGAAAAAGTCAGAGAGATGTACAAAAACTTACAACCAAAGAATGACTGACTGTGAAAGAGATCATGAGAGAAAGAAATCCAAAAGTGACACAATGACTGATCAAGATAAAGCCAGCATCTACAGTATGAAAAGGATAGGGTGAGGAAAAAATCAGAAAGGGCGAGTAGAACTGATGAACAAAAAGTTATTGACAGTGTGAAGAATAAAGAGAAAAAGACATTACAAAAGGAAAACATGACTGCTCAGAAAAAGAAGGTTGTTTCTGAAAAGGATAGAGAAAGGAAACACCAAACAAGAAAGTCAGGTAGCATAGAGACAGCTATTGCTACATTCAAGAAGGAGATTCTGCAAGGACCTGATTCTGTGCGCACCTGTTGCAGGAGATCATTGTATAGAGGTAGTGTTGTGGAGGTTCACCATTCTGCTTACTCTTCTGCAGACAGTGAACTGTTGACTGCATGTTTAGGTCACACCAAATGGATCTGGAGGACCTGTCATCTCTGTCTTAAGGGCAATCAAATGCCTGCCTTGTCAGTTGCTAACAATCTGGAACTTTCACCTATTCCTGAAGCTCTTAAATGTCTAAAAGATCTTGAAGCAAGACTCATTGCACAAAGAATTCCGTTTATGAAACTGATGAATCTACCGAAGGGCAAACAACGTGCTGTTGTTGGAAGTGTTGTTAGCATGCCAGTGGATACATCTGCAACTTGTGCATCATTGCCCAGGTGTTCCTCCTCATCTACAGGATTCATTGCTCTGAAGTTAAAGAGAAAAGTGCAGTATTCTGGACATGTCCTGTATCAGATGATAAGACCAACATTTGTTGACAGAGCTCTTCAGTTTTTCAAAATGAATAATCCACTTTATTCATCTGTTTTATTCAAGGCAGTCTGGGAAAGAGCTTTTGAGGCTGATGATGAAGACCTCTGGAATGCCCTAGTACAACCTGATGATCTTGCTAACTTTAAAGAGAAAAATGTTGGACCTGA